TGCTACTCCTACAGTGTAAGTCTTTCTGCACACCACATAAAGAGGGAGAGGCCACATTGCTCATTCACATAGGCTGCCTGAGCGACCCGTGGCATCTAGGCTTGTGACAGTTACGTCTGGCACGTCCACCATCTTTACACAGAGTCCGCTGTGTGGCTGCTGCAGAGCTGCCTGCCAGCCCTATGTTTTTTACATACACTTTTATTTGTATAATTTCATGAAATTTTTCTTATCTTCAAGTAATTTTAATTATTCACAATACCATAATATAAGTTTAAATGTGATTGATTTAAGGAATGAACGTAAAAATAATACATTAATTGGAAATACAGTAATTCTCTCCAATTGGCCCTGGTTCTCCTTCAAAGTGGGATTTCACATGGGGGTGGGTTTCTGTTCTTCATGTTTCTATCATCGCTTGTTCAGGATGACCAAAATAGAGTTATTTTATGTGTTTATTTAATATATTATAAATAAAGTTGTTAAAAAAAAGTTAACAAGGAGGTTCATAATAATAATATTTGGCCTGTGGTACAGAGGCAGAGCGGGTCGTTCCCAATAATCGGATAGGTTGTTGGTTCCTGGTGCCGAAGTATCCTTGAGCATCACTGAGTGAATGTGTGTGAAGGGTGAATGTGCCATGTAGTGTAAAAGTGCTTTGAGTGGTCGGTAGACTAGAAAAGGCGCTATACAACTACAGGTCCCATTTACCATTTACCATAAATATGACATTTTTTCAGTATTTTGTGCGGTTCTTGTTTTCATTTACAGTGATCCTGAAATTCTGGTCTGTTCTCCCCTGGAAGTGCACATCAGTTACCTGTATGGAAGACGAGCAGTGCTTTGAGGGACCTGGCCTTGAAGGGTGTAAGGGCACTGCTACCCAGAACTCCTACGCCATCGATGCCAGGGCAACTGGGAGAACCCCACGTACCCGAAGCTGACAATCGGAGATTTGATTTCAGGGCAGCTGGCACGCTAGTATCCTGTCCTCAGCTCATCCAAGGGGAATCAGAGGCGCAGAGCCTGGTACCTTCCAAGTGCTGGCCAAAATGAGAAGCAGGAGGGGTCTAAGCAAAGGCCGTGTCCGTTCCACCCCAAGAGCTGGTCTCTATTGCAGTTTATTTGGTAACTTCACTGTCAGCAAGTCGGAGTCATACCAGTGCCAGAGGACCGGAGATCACTGGTAAGAATCAATCGTCCTACTAAATCAGGAGTTTACTTCATAGTTCTCCCTCGACCCCAATACATCAACCTTTCAAGTATGCATATAAAGTAGCAAACAGTCGCAAAGAAAGCTTTTATGGTGTGCAATCTCCGTTTACATTGAAGAACAAATCAATTTTTATTTACAATAGCCACCAGAACGCCGGTCACCCAAGCCTGTACCGCCGTTGCACATCTATCCTTCCTTGTGACCACTTTTGATGTGTACTGACCACCCTGCACGAGCAGA